GCACGCCACAGCCACTGTCGCACACCATGGCAAGTGGCGATTGACCTCTGTCAGGGTCGACAGAAATTCCTCATTGCCAGGAACGTGGTCCGAGACCCAGAATCAGAATGTTCCTACAATCTGATGCTGAGTCAGTGCCTGCATTGGCATTGAGTATAAACTCGACCCATCCCTGGCAATTTGGGGCTCTTATAGCACGCCAGCTCAGCTGGAAAATAGCTATGTGGAGCTGGAATGAAATGCACCCGGAATCATACCCGTGAATCCTGACTATGGATCGACAATATATGAGATGATTTATGATTTCATCACGTTCTATCGATATCATAATCGAATCAGATCCGTGCCAGGTTCATCCGAGTATAAATTCCAGGTCCGAGACCGGGCTTCTCAGCGAGTTGGATCACTGTAGTAGCCTGGACCTGTCGGGCGGCATGATTTGTGAACCCATAACGCCTATGCCTATGCCAGTTTATCAACCGAATCTAGTCTATGAGTCTATGAGTCTATGAGTCTATGAATCTATGAGTCTACTACGAGGCTTACAAAACCTTTCAACAAGAGTAGTTGACAGTAGATTTATATTGGCTATGGGAGCCATCCGACCTCGGGATGCCGATGCCGATTGCCCGCCTCTGAAAGTCGCCGCCGAGCGATCCTTGTGCTGGCTCTGTCGTTCTCGGTCAGTGGGCGCATCAAAGAAACTCGGTGCTTGCCACCAGATCAGGTAGGAAGCCGTCTCGGAAGAGCATCTGTATGCCACATCCAAGCAACTGCGCCCCTGAGATGATCTTATCATAACATAATGATGAATACTGAATAAATAATTTAAATAAATTAATTGAGTTATGAGGACCATGGATTGATTAAGAGTAAGACTCACCTAAGGACCTACCTACGGCCTAAGGATCAATTCAACCTATGCATTATGATGACCGTTACTATTACAGTCGTAGTTAGCAAACGAGAGACCACGCTGTTGGCCATCTCTAGGTGGCTCATGACGAGCTTGTGCTGGCCCAGGTCATTGAGCCGCCAGAGGACCTTCTTCAAGATGTGAATGTGTCCGCGGGCAGCGGCCAGGTGGGACACCGTTGCCAGTGTACCACCGCGACACTGCAGCCCATTGATTGACATGTGCCTTACTAGCGCCGAAGCCATCTGCACGTGCACCGGATTTTGATTTTTGCCTTGGTCTGCAAGCACCATCAGTGGTGTCCAGTGCGGCGGCAGCCGCCCTATGCTTGTAGGGCGGTCTGCCAATCCTGGCGTTTTCTCCAGGATTGCCCACAGGATGGACAGGCTCTGAGTGCGGACCGCCCAATGCAGGGGCGTCATGCCAGCCGGATCCGCCATATTCTCAATTGAACCTGGCCGCAACGACTTGATCAGGGCCAAAGCCAAGTCTTCCTCCTGATTGAAAATCGCCTCGATGAGCCCCATACCCGCGGTTTCCTGCCTGGCCTGTGCATCTTGACTTTCAGCCTCCCTCTGCGCCATGAGACTGATCAAATGACGCTGTTGCTCTTCCAACAGCTCCATCAAGCGACGAAACTCTTCTCTGTTTGATGGCTCTGGCTGGGGAAGCTCTTCTTGGGCACCGCCAGGCGAGACGCCGGAGGGATCGTCAGCATCACCCCAATCTGGAGTGTCCTCCTCCTCCTCCTGCTCGGCCGCCGCTGTATCATCGCCTTGATAGAATGATCGGAATAGATAGAATATATTAAGACTTTGATTTTGATTAAACCGAATTAAACCTATAAATCCTATAGGCTATATACTGGACTGGAATTGATACTTGATGGCATCAATCAACGACCCTGCCCAATAGTGACAAAGGAATTGCTAATTAGTCTGAAGATACCTTTCAACTTCTCATCCAGCTCCTTGAGGTTGTTCATCAGTTTGTTGAGCGTGGCGAAGTCCTCTGCATCGAATCCTGCACGAGGTGTCGACGGCCCGGTCGGAGACCGCTGTGAGGGATCAGGCTGAGTCTCCTCCTGAGTCTCCTGCTCCTGCTGCTCCTGGGTCTCCTGAGGCTTGCTCGCTTTGGTCTTGGGTGTCGGAGGGAGATAGGCCGGCTCGGTCGGAGCAGGCTCCACAATCTTGCCCGCTTTGGTCTTCGGTGTTGGAAGGAGCCGAGTCGATGGCCCGGTCGGAGACCGCTCTTTCGGAGTCCTGGGTTCGGCCTCGCTCGTCTCTGCTCCAGCATCCGACTCCGATAGCGACACTTGAATCCAGGCCTCAATGGGAAGAAGAATTCAGAATTCAGAATCACTCTAAGCCCTAGCAACCAGCCTGAGCATTCAGTAATATTTACTTCAAACCGACCAAATCCTTCCCCCACGGCCGCCTCGCTTTCTGAAGCTCCGGACTCTGCGGACATTGCCTCGGCATCTCGCTTGAAGGGAAGGCTCGGAAGAGCACCGCCACGGCCACGAGCCTCAAGATTCAAGATCAATTGTCAATTAAGTTTGAAGGCTTCGGGTATAAGCGGCTTTCAAGTAAAGTAAAGTCGCTACTATAGCTTATACTTATACTACTTATATAATTAAAATTAACAATTACTAATTACTACAATTGATTCAAACCGGTCCGACCTGCGTCGACGGTACTGGCTTGTTCTTGGGAGCAGATCCATAGCTTCTAGCACGCGAGTCTCTCTCAGCGTCAGAGACGTAGGCACCGGCATCGGTCCATTCCGTACTCTCGCGACTGCGAGCCACCTGAGGATAGTGAAATCTTGTTATCCAAATAACTAACCTCAAGATTGAAGACATATATAATTATAATGATTGATTTAGTCTTGATAACTGATACGATACAATCCGGCCTCGGAGGGGGACCACCCCAAGCTCATGGCCAGCCCTTGAAACTCGGACGGAGTCATCAATTGGTTAAGTCGTGGGCGGTGACCAGCGTCTTGGTCGAAGCCCAGGGCGTGCTGCGCTGGCCTGGTGAGCCTGGTCAGAGACCGATAGCCCTCTTCGGCGAAGATTTGCTGCATCTTGCCCAGGGCATCGATTGGTCTGACATTCTTGCGACCATGCGTGTGTCGCGACTCTGGGGCCGTGGTGCTCAGGTCAACGATGGCCCGTAGACTGTTTAAGTGCGAGTACACCACTTCCGAGGGCTCGCCCGTCAAGAAGATGATGAGCAGGGCCATTAGGAAGCTGCTCCTATGAGCCCCGTTCTTGCAGGATATAAGCACCTTCATCCCAGACGACAAAAGTTTCATGATCCGCTGGAACATGTTGATAACCAGGCCCTGGTCGATGTCTCCATGAACCACGCCTGTGCCGTCCAGATTTCCCAGAAAGTCAATTCTGGAATCCCTTATCACCGGAGGGTGGGACGCTGCTGCCAAGATCGCTCCGATTCCGTTGGCAATAAGCACCTGCACATCCCCACTCGCTCCGATTCCTCCCAACCAGCACTGGGCACCATTGGGCAATTCCAGCACGCAGTGCATAGGGTGCCTTGAGACAAACTTGAAATAGGTATTCTGTTTCGAGTAGAATGAATTGAATGAATCAGAATGATCGACTACTCTAGTCGACTCGTGACTCCTTACTACTTACCCATCATTACATTATAATAATATTATCAAAACCGCCAAAACCATCCCGAATCGAGCCCGCCTTGAGTTGTAAGCCTGCCAGCACATCCTGCGCAGGGACTGCCCCTTGCCGTATGAGTCCGTGACAAGTAGTCTGGCCAGGTCAGAGACCGCTGCTGCCCTTCGTGATCGCTCTCGAAGTGCAGTAGCTCCTGAAGGGGCCTCCGGAAAGCTATACTCCGACAAAGCGCTGAAGCGAGCATCGAGCGGGGCAAAGTCAGACATGGCCAGAAACGAGTCAAACACACGACACTACTGCTACCACTGATGTGCCACCAATCAGGTGGCGGGGTCTCTGTCTGTACAAGCCAAATCTGCATTCATTCAGCATACATTACATGACAATGATCAATGATCTGCTTGCCTGCCTGCCTGCCTGCCTCAGCACTTCAGCACGCTACACGGTTCAACATATGACTGACATGACATGGCATCATGACAGGGCATTACGAGTGTGACCTGCGGCGACTTGCACTCACTAAGTACCGTCCCTGCAAAGCTCGGTCCTGTCCAAGGTCCGTTGAAGAAGTCGGCAAGCCGCTGGAAGGCTTCCCGCTGAGTCCCTGAGCGGATAGGATCCGTGGTATCGTTATAGCTCATACACAACTGGATCAAATCCCGGGCTTCTTGTTGGGCTTGAGACCACTCCTCTGTCAATGCTGCAGGGGTTTCCTTCAAGACTCGCAATGTACGGGCAATGTGACCATCAGCTTTTGCCCGAAGATCCTTCAACAGATTGCCCTTATTCAATACCTTCGCAATGGAAAAATTACCACCCAAGTTTCCCAGAAATTTCGTCAATTGCTCCACTATGTTACCCACTCTGTGTTGCAGGCATAGGGATGGCAAGAAGAAATGATTCTGATCATCACATAGCTGTTGGTCAACGAATCTCAGTAAGCGAATATTGGCAGCATGAGCATCCGATATGGTCAAAGTAGCCAAATACTTGCCTTCGAAGACCTGTGCAAATCCCCCAGGGCCGGCACTCAAAGCTGCATGCATCGTGGCCGAATTCATCACTGGGCTGAGAACTGCAGGGGACCTGAATATATGTTCATCGTGGACCAAATCCTCGTCCTCAAGACGGTACGTCAATTGACCATGAGAACAAAGTACGGAATACGAAGCCGATACACCATTCATCAACAAGTCGAAAGTAGACTCGTCAAACATGATATTACGAATGGCATATGCCAATTTCGTCGGCTCTGCATCTTCTGAGACCGGCTTCTGCAGCTTCTGGATACCTACGGCTTGGCCATGCAGGATAGCTTCTGCCACAACATAACGACTACCAGAACTGTTTCTGCGACCAGCTCCTTCAATGGAATCCTTAATCTGGCGACAAGTGGATTTTTCAGAACTGAAAGCCGCTCGAAGAACAGCAGGAGACGACCATACTCTCCACTGGCCTCTGCCTCCAACGGGCTGACGATCTAGACCGAACTCATGCAAGGGCATATGGAAATCTTGATTCCTGGCCCGTCCACTGGCATTATAAGCTCGCGATTGCTGATCATGGAAAACCTGGTTCTTCGACAGCTTGCTTTTGGCTCGAGGTTTCTTGGCAGATCCAGGTCCGAGACCGATGTTGTCGAGGCTGCGTTTTTGCCGTTTCTCAGTCGTTCCAACCTGGTCTCGTTGTTTTGTCTGCCCCTCTGCATGCACATCTTCAATTATGCCAAGGATTTGGTCCATGTCCAACGATGTAGCATCCATAGAATCTCCCATGGCTAAATCTTAAAAAAGACTCCAACTCTTTATCTATAAACCAATAAATCAATCCAAGGTTAACTTCATACTGCAAGTGCAAGATTCATGACTCATAGTATTCATGCAAAACAACCTCGTATTCTATATCTCAAGTCTAGATCCTGAAGTAACTACGAGCCTCAAAGCGACGAATGCAATCATGTACAACCTCAATTCACCCGGAAATCTCGGAAGGAGCTGGATGCAGAATTTCATATATTTTAAAAAAGAATTTATTAGAAATATCAAATATATTATTTTAAATAAAAAAGAATTTCATGAATTTTGCTATATTAATAAAAAGAATTTCAACTATTTCATCTATTTCTTTTTATGCTTTTTGGGTCATAATAAGCAAATATGAGCCACAGGCCTTCTTGGGGACACTCAACCCTAAACCCTCGGCCCCGAAACCCTACCCACCCGCCCCGCCCCGCCCCGCCCCGCCCCGGCCCCGTGCCCGCGCCCACGCCCGCGCACACGCCCATGCCCGCTCGCGCACGTGCCCGCATTCGCTCCCGCACCTGCGCCCGCGCCCACGCCCACGCCCGCGCCCGTGCCCCTGCCCGCGCCCGCGCCCGCGCCGCGCCCGCACCCGCGCCCAAGCCCGCCGCGCCCACACTGCGCCGCTCACCCACCCGCGCCCCGCAACGCGCCACGCCCGCACCCGCACCCGCGCTCGTTCGCGCCCTGAAACCCTCTGCGCCCAGACTTTGTATAAGCCCTGAAGCCTCTCGCCCGAAGCCCTCTGCGCCCTGGAACCCTCTGCCCTGCATGGAACCCTCTTTCATGTCCGGGACTCATTCGACTGCTTGTCCAAGCTTTTTGCCACATCCGTCGGCGATGCTATGGCACGACAGGGCCGGTCCTGTTGGTGGTGTTTCCTGTGTCTGGTGCAAGCCGCTTTCTGTCGGGGGCTTGCCACTTCGATTTATCTGAGTCCGGCTGGGAGGCCCATGGCCAATTGAAGGCATTTTGCATCCACGTCCTGGTCCTATTCTATGCGACCACACGGGCACCGGTTTCCGGCTTTTGCGAGAATGTTGTTGCATGCCCACTCTCTCGTCTTCGGTCTGGACGAGTACGATGTTTTGGCTAAAAGCAAGACTCCCTGAGCAAAAGAACTGCGGATGAATGCGGTCAACTCACGCGCTGCTTCTGCTACCTCGCAGTACGTACGCCGAGCTCGTCTCAGTGGCCCCAGCAGTTTTTCACTCGTCGGGCTGGCGATGGCTTTGCGTGTCCGCTGGTCGCGGTGGTCGCTGCCTGTGTTTGCAGTCCTTACACAATCCCTTCTCTTTTGCTTGGAACTTCTTGCTGCACTGCCTGTTGGTGCAGGTTTGCCATCCGGGCTGCCAGGTGCTGCGGCTGGAGCAGTTCAGGCAGTGGTCTCCAGTGGCGTTGCCCGCGGCTTTGTGCGGGAAGCTCTCTTTGCAGGCTCTGCAGGAGAACCAGCCCGTGCGCAGGCGCTTTTTGTCCGAGAGCTGTTGTTGACAGGCGACGCAAGCGAGGGAGCTGTCTGGCATGGTTCGCATCGCGGGCGAGAAGTCCTTGGCCGATTTTCGCTCGCCGCAGACCGTGCAGTTCAGCTGGGTCGTGCTGAGGCGGCACGCGGAGCACTGGCGCTTGGTGTCGGCATCCTTCTGCACCAATTGGGCCCTCGGGAAAGCCTCCTCGATTTTCGTGATGTGGCAGAGGTTGCACTTGACGCTCTTGTCCAGGCTCGCTTGGGTGTTGACGTTTCGCTTGAGCGGGCCCTTCTTCGTGTTGATCGCTCCGCGTTGGCACTCCAGGCACTGGCCGCCGCGGTTGGCCCGGACCAGCTCCCACTGCGCGTGGGAGAAGAGGTCCCAGCTCTTGAGCTCTCTGCATTTTTGGCAGCGGGACTTGGGATAGCGCGCGTCATGCATTGCCTGCCAGTCGATGTCCTCCCCTTTGAGCTTTCGCAGTAGCAGCGAGGGGCCTTCGGCGGCGCCGCGCTGGAAGAGCCAGAGCGGGAAGCCCCGCAGGATCAGCACGTCCGACCTGTCCCGGACGCGGCTGGCCACCACCGTGCCGTAGGCGGCGTGGACCCTGGAGTCCACGTGCAAGTCCAGCATGACGGCTTTCCTGGGGCGGGGGGGCTTTGTGCGTGCATGTGCTGCATTACATTGCGCCGCCTGCATGTAGCCGTCCGTGTGCGGCCGGGCGGCAGTGTCTTGCCTTGACTGGCATGGGCCGTGATCGCGAAGGCCGGGATCAGCGGGATCTGCGTGCGAGCGACCTTCAGCACGGCGGCGTGGTTTCGTCCCTTGTCCAGCTTCCAAGTCCGCGTCGCCGGCAGCACCGGGTACAGCCCGGGTTCATTCGTGCCTTCGAGCTTCCAGTCGGCGTCCTCGAATTTGACGTACCTTAGATGGGTTTGGGCGTTCCCGTTTGAAGTAGCAGAGCTACACGGCTGGGTGTTTGCGGGGCATATTGCGGCCCGGCAGCACTATGCTAGGCTGCTGTTCGTTCTCTTGCCATTCCCAGGAGTGCACGTGGCCCAGGCGGCCCTTCAGCAGAAACTTCTTCGAGCGGTCCACGTGGTGCGTCAGCGCGACCGGCATGCCGATGGCCAGGGGAAGCATGCCGCAGAGCCCCTCCGTGTCCATGTCGTGGTACTGCAGCCAGCGGATTTTCGCCTGCTTGTCGCACGCCTGCGTCTGGAGCGCCTCCACGCCGGCCCTGTCCTTGGCCACGGACCAGACGAGAGGGGTCTCGGCGTCCTGGGCATAGGCCTTCGCGCGGTCCTTGTTGATCTGGTACTTGGCGTCGTTGTTTGCCACGACCACGGTCGCCGCCACGAACTTCGGCTCTCGGAGTCGCGGGTCTTGGGGTCCGTCCACCACGCGCTTTCGGGACTGTCGTTCTTCCGGCGAGAGGGTGCAGCCTTCCACGGGGAGACCGTGCAGGTATTTCCAGTTGTCTTCGGAAAGCTTTCCTTCTCGGAGCTCGTCCACGACCTGTGCAGGGAGTGGGTCGCTGGCTTCATGGTTGTTTTTGCTGCTCTTCTTGCTCTGTTGCTGTACTGGTTGTTGCGTGCAGGTCTTTCGTGCAAGGCGTTGCATGTCTGGCGTATCGTGCAGGCATCTGTGCTGCGTCTCTTGTTCGCGCCTGATTCCACCATTTGTCTTTGCATCTCATTATCTCGGTTAGCACCGTCACGCCCTGCACCGCGCCCTCCCAGAAGAGGCTCTGTCCGTGGTCCACGAGAGGGTCCCGCTGCGGGGCTCCCGTGGCGGCTTTGCCGGGTGCCTGCAGCTTGGCGGGTAGGTCCGCCAGGAAGCCTCCTTCGGGTGGTGGTAGTTGGCTGAAGTCGCCGCTGAAGATCACGTTGAGCCCGGAGAAGGGTCTGGCGTTGCCGGTGGCGTCGTGCTTCCATGGCCCGGACCTGGCCACCGTGCTTCGCGTGCGCGTTTCCACCTGCCCCAGGAGTCGGGCACTGATGAGGCCGACCTCGTCGGCGATGAGCCAGCGCCAGTTCGCTATTCGTTTGGCCGTGTCTGGCTTGCATGCCAATTCGAGGCAGTCTCGCTCCTTGCTGAGGCCGAAGGCCGCGTGGAGTGTCTCGCCCTGGACTTGGGCCGCGTTGGTGGCTTGGAAGGCGGCGAACTGGAAATCGATGCCCTCCACGTAGCCCAGGAACTTTTCGAAGAGCCTGCGCACGTACTTCAGCACCTCGGTCTTGCCGGTGCCCGGGCGGCCGTGCAGCAGCCAGATCAACGGCTCTTCGCTGTTCCGGACGGTGGCGTGAGCCGGCTCGAGCTTGTACTCGACGAGGACGCGTTCCACCACCAGCTTCAGGAACTCGTGCTGCTCCTTGTTGAGGTTGTTCCGCACTTCTGCGCTCTCGAGCCAGGCTCGCAGCTGCGTGTTGCTGACGGCATGGTGGGTCCTGGCGGTGCCTTTGCGGCGGGCGCCGTCCAGGCCCGACCCTTCGGCTTCCGCGTCCGCCGCTCTCTTGTTGCGGGAGGCTCGTGCGGCGGCCAGCATCTGCTGGGCATCGGTGATGCCTTTGCTCGCGGTTGCTTCTTGGAAGAGTTGCTGCGCCACTTCTCGCGGCACTTCGGTGGCTTTGGAAGCCTCGCCCAGCCAGACGTTCCGGGAGAGCTTCATCATCTGGATCGTGAGGTCGTGCTGGGAGCTGGTGGCGGGCGGCTCCGCTTCGTCGGGCGGATCCTCTTCTTCTGCGTCTGCCGCCGCTTCTTTGCCGGCCCCTCGCACTCGCGTCTTTGTGGCCTGCTCGATCTCGTCATCCTCGAAGTGGCAGACCTCGTCCTTCAGGTCCTCGTTGTCGCTGTTCGCGGCCAGGTCGTGGTCGGGCTGCAGGGAGCGGGGCAGGCAGTACACGAAGGCGTAGTTCAGGACGTAGCGCTTCAGCTCCTCGGTGGGGAAGCCGTCGGCGTGCCTCCAGGCGCAGCGCAGGGCCTGGCGCCAGGTGCTCATCTCCGGCGTGCGCAGCTGGCCGATGTAG